CATCGACCATACCTCAGCGGGAACAAGGACGAAATCGTTCTTCTCCACCAAGCCTCTTTTGAGACGTACCCGGCGTTCATCATATGGATCCTCTGAATCACAAATGAATAAAACAACACATAGCGCACAGATCATTCGTAATATAATGGAAGCCTACTCTCGATCAGGGCCGAGTTGTCGATCGGTCCAACGTTGGCGGCTACACACTGATCTGCACAGTGTGAAGAGGCAGATGAGCTTTCGTAACATCTCCTCAGTTGGTCAAACCAGCGGGCGTCCACCAGGTACCTGTAAAATGCGACAACGTCAACATTTAAAACCTTTCCGTCCTTTCTTTTGCGACATACCAAACATCCTTCAGTTTAAGTGGGGTATTCAGTAGATTCTTGATTTTTGTCCATTTTTGTCGAGAAAAGTGGTTTGACGAGTTTTGAGTAGAATTGTCAATCACTACTACCATCGTTGAAGCAATCCATCAAATGCTAGAAGCAAAACCTTGACAAAAAACAGTTTCCATAAAAGACAATGACAGATTCGTCATCGGGCTGTCAAGAGCTCTAATCTTTAAGGACAATAGGAGAATCGTCATAATAACAGGTAACAGGTTCCACTTTTCCCGAAGCTTCTCTGATCATATATAGTATGTCGTCCAGTTCGGCTCGCATGTGAAACTACTACCCGAAAACGAGACACAGATGCACCGGCTGAAGGGCCTAACTGAAACCAGTCAGCGAATGCCATCATGAATCCTCCTGCCTTAAAGCATCGCGCATCGTCTCTCACGAACTGTTTCGCTGTTGTACGCTGTATATATGCGGAAGCTGAAAGCGGCAGGAACCATCTTCCTACACCGTATTAATAAATATTGAAAAATTTTAAAATTCTATCCGACCAATGATGTCGGGCGCCGCTGATCTTCAATTCTTTTGGGTGGAAGGGGGTCTTGTGCTGATTATCACAGTAAACACAGAGGACAGAATGGTCGTATATCTCGCGTACTCTGATATGA